AGCCCATCCCTGTATCAACCCCTGGCTTGCAACACATGTGATTGCATTTGTAGGTATCACGCTAAGCCAGGATTGATTCAATTGGTAGCTTATGGAATAAGATTCAATGACCTGGTTCAGACCCAGTGCTAAATCTCCAGAATGCAACCTAACTGACGGGTGAGAGAGCTATGCTATGGCGCTCTATTACCCTAGAAATCTCCTTCCTAACATTAAAGGTAAAAGTTTCCCCTGTCCAGTCTTGTCCGACTCCAGGGTGTGGTGTGCAACTCCATTTTTTAGGCGAGGGAACCAGCATTGTCCGAAGAAGACACTTCCATGGTCATGTGGCCAGCAGGAGATGCAGGCAATGCTGTTACCTTCCGACTGAAGTGGTACCTATTTATCTGCTTGCAGGAGGCGCAATGTCTCGGCAGTTAAAGATGCTGAGCTTGCCAGCCGGAAAGCTGACATTCCGGCGTTCGAGACCCTGGTGGGACTCGATGGGTTGAGCTCCCATTACTTGCTCCAGCTCCTCCCCACCTTCCTGATATACTTCTCCCGGAAAAAAAAAAAGCCGAACGAAGAATGTGAATTAAGAAACACAAAGAAGGCTTTTGCCTATCTTGTTTGGAAAAGGACTAGTTTGAAGGGAACACAAATAATTAGGGCACGCCAAGAGAAGGGGCTCTCTCCCCCCTCCCCCTTCCTAATTCATCATTAAGCAGCTCATTTTTCAAGGAAGCCCAAGGGGGAAACCAAAGAGAAACAAAGAGATACAGCCATGGCAGTAGGGATTTAACAAACATCAATGGGACTGCACAATGAAAGGCATAAACCCATGATAGTTGAAGCTTTCTTTTATTGATCGGCAGTGCGTCGCAGCAAGGACATTACCCACCATCCACCAAGGTAGCCTTCTGGGACCGAGGAACTCAAGAGACAATACGAGCGGACAACTCTTGCAGAACTGATGAGGGTTTGAAATCGGATCTGCTCTTCTTTTGGCATCTTTTCCATTCCCTAAATAATTCAATTGTTTCTCTGCAGGATCCCACTTTCTTTTTCCTTAGGCCTTTTGTTGCTTACCTAAGAATCAAACTCAGGGAGGTAGGGCTACATACCAATGAGAGGTCCCGGATTCAGTTAGTTCAGGAGTACGGCAGCGTTTGGGCAGGGAAACGATCAGAAATGAAGTCCGTGGCAATCAGTAGTTCTCTAAGACAGGGGTCTCCATCCCTGGCGACTTTATGGCTTGTGGACTTCAACTCCCAGAATTCCCATGCTGGCAGAAGAATTCTGGGAGTTGAAGTCCACCAGTCGTAAAGTTGCCAACGTTGGAGATCTCTGCTCTTGGAGGACAATTGCTAGAAGGTGGTTTGCTTTCCTCCAACACGTTCTTCAGCTTCCTCACTCTGGTGCCTTTCAGATCTATTGGATTACAGGCAGTCCTCGACTTCCAATCACAAATGGGACCAGTTTCTTTATTAAGCAAGATGGTCTCAGGGAGTTAGCCATATATTTACCTCTGCTGCCACCTAGCAGTCAATAGAAGTTTTGCAATCAAAATCTTGATTATCCATGGCCACTCTTAAGTATCCAGTCATCTGGCATCCTACATAGAACCCGGTCTCACCACTTAGCTGGCTCAAAGTCTTCCCTGGAAGCCGTTCTCTATTTAACAGAATAACAGAGTTGGGACCTTGGAGGTCTTCTAGTCCAACCCCTTGCTCAAGCCCTACAACATTTCAGACAAAAGTCCAATCTCTTCCTAAAAATCCTCCAGTGATGAAACACCCACAACCCCTGAAGGCAAGCCCTTCCACTAATTAATTGTTCTCACTATCAAGAAATTTCTCCTTGGTTCCAGGTTACTTCTCTCCTTGTTTAGTTTCCAACCATTGCTTCTTCTCCTGCCTTCAGGTGCTTTGGAGAATAGCTTGACTCCCTCTTCTTTGTGGCAGCCCCACAGATATTGGAAGACTGCTATCATGTTCTTCTCTTCACTAGTTCTTCTCTTCACTAGATTAGACACACTCAATTCTCACAACCCTTCTTCATGTCCTAAGTCTCTACTCCCTCTAATCATCTTTGTTGCTCCTCTCTGCACTCATTTCAAGTCTCAACATTTTTGTTTATATTGTGGTGACCAAAACTGAATGCAATATTCTAAAGGTGGTCTTATTAAGGCAGGGGTCGGCAACCTTAAACACTCGAAGAGCCACAAAGGTCCTAACTGGAAGCCCCCTGTTAATTCTGGAGCCGACCGGAAGTCCGGTTTACCCCCCACCATAGAGTCTCCTCCTAGCATGGCAGCTTTTTTCCTCTGCCAACCAGAAGTCTGGTTCCCCTACCATAGAGTCTCCTCCTAGCACAGCATCCTTTTTCCTTTTACTGACCGGCGACAGGAAGCCACAACAGAAGGATGAAAGAGCCACATGCAGCTCCAGGGCCACGGGTTGCCAACCCTTGTACTAAGGCCATATAAAGCGTACTACCCTGTTTCCCCGAAAATAAGACCCAACCGGAAAATAAGTCCTAGCACGGTTTTTCAGGATGCTCGTAATGTAAGCCCTACCCCCCCCCAAAATAAGCCCCAGTTAAGATTGTCAGACAGATGGGTGCATTTAGTACCGTATTTCCCCCAAAATAAGACCTAACCAGAAAATAAGCCCTAATGCGTCTTTTGGAGCAAAAATTAATATAAGACCCAGTCTTATTGTTGGGGAAACACGGTAACACTTCAAATGATCTTGATATTTGCCCTAGCAAAGGAACAACCGAATGATCCAGTGGCAAAGATTGCCCGATTCCGTCGCATGCCAAATCGGGCTTGTTTGTAGCATTTGCAGAGTGCATGAACTCAGCTGCGGCAGTTTGTCAATCAAAGTTGAATGCATTATGCAAGCCTGCCCTAATTGCCCTCACTAGGCTGTTGACATAGGAGCGTTACCGTCGGCTGTTTGCTAAGCATTTGGTAAGACAACAGTTCACTCCGTCCAACGGTCAGCACGCTTTGAAAAGTCGCAGAGAAGTCAAGGGATTTATCAGAATGCAAACGGCATCTCAGAAGTTTCACCCTGAGTGAGATTATCTTGCAATTTCAAGGTGGCTTGTCAAAACCTTGACCAATTCGATGTTCTTGCAACTCAGGCAAGCGTCAGATGGGTTTGTTTCCAAATCATATTTAATAGGAATGGTGAAGCACAATATGCCAGCGTGGAACAGAATCACTGAAAGCACACCTGTGGCACCAGGCAGGAGAAAGCTGTGCCTTCTATTACACAAATCCGCCGGAATTAAGCTGGATAAAGATGTTTCTAGCTGTTAGCCATGGAAGATCTCCTATCTGTTAAATGGAACTGATGCGTTCATTATGTACCAGAAGCCAGGTTTTACCAGCTCTGTTGGAGAAAACTTCAATTTGAATTTGCGAAGGACAGCACAGGTGTGACAATGTGACACTTGGAAAAGCTTTCTTGGCAGGAGTCCTAGGAAGAGGGTGGGTCGAATGGATTTCTCCTTATTCTGTCACACAAAAAATGATTTTTGTTTCTCTTAATAATCCTGTATGATCCCTTGCTTCGAGGTGGGGTTGGGGTGACTGAGTGGAGTTGAGCATTTGCAGGCTGGATGCCCTTCCTGATGCCTATGCGAAGTTCACAGCAGATATTTTCTCTTTACACCCTGATAAACGTCTGCCACTGCCTAGAATTGAACTCTCAACCTGGGAAGTGAGAGTCTTTACCTCTAGGCTACCACACCACTCTCTAGACCAGGAGTGTCGAACTCGAGGCCCGGGGGCCGGATCCGGCCTGGGGGGTGCTTAGATCTGGCCCATGGGGCCACCCTGGAAACAGCAAAGTACCAGCCCACAGTGCCTCTGCCAGCAAAAATGGAGCTGGGGAGGGTCCTCCTGAGCTCCGTTTTCGCTGGCAGAGGGTTGCAGGAGGCCATTGCAGCCGAAAATGGAGCTTGGGAGCCTGTTTTCGCTGGCAGAGTGCTCGGGCCACCACAGGTCCTCCCAACATGAGTGATGTTGAGCTGGCCACACTCAAAGAAACAAAGATGTATTTTTCAACATCTTCCTCAACGTGTTACCTACTATGGATTGGATAAGTGTCAAAACTGAAATGGGCATAATTGATCTGCATTTCTGATGTTCCCCATTCCATGGAAGCTTCGTTAAGATTCTTGCTGCTACGGGAGAGGAGGGGAGGGGAGGAGAGGAGAGAAGGAAGAGAAGGGGAGAGGAGAGAGGGAAGGAGGAGGAGAGGAGAGGAGAGGAGAGGGGAAGGGAGGGGAAGGGAAGGGAAGGGAAGAGAAGAGCCAAGCTAACCTATGTTAAAACAATTAATCAGTGGAACAACTTGCCTCCAGAAGTTGCAAATGCTCCAACACTGGAAGTTTTTAAGAAGAGGTTGGACAACCATTTGTCTGAAGTTGTGTAGGGTTTCCTGCCTAGGCAGGGGGTTGGACTAGAAGACCTCCAAGGTCCCTTCCAACTCTGTTATTCTGTTAATCAAGGCATTTAATCCATTTCTCATTCATGCCTCCATCGTGTGTGTGTTAAGGGCCCCGTTTCTTGGCTCTATTAACATTCATAGCAATAGTTCTGCTTGGTGACCTCAGGAACTCGAGATGAAATTCCCGCACACTGAAAACATTCATTCTGAAATCTGTAGGTTTTCCACCAGGCTCTACTTGATGGTCTTAGGCATTCTAATATGAAAGGAAGTAGAGAGCCTGTAAGATTTTCACTCTCCTTCTATGCATCTTCCGGCAGCCTCTGTTCAAACTTAATTTTGTCTTTTCCTGAGCTGCTTTCCTCGGCGGTTCCAGATTTGCCCCCTACCATGTCCAACAACTGCTGAACATGACTGGAATTCCCTATTCCTATTCCTCCAGATACTCTTTAGAGCCACAGAAGAAAGAAAACGGAGAGCAGCTTCTACGCCATTCTCGGCGCACAGAATCAAAGACTGACATTTTCGAAGCTTGGGAAGAAAACCAGAGACCTCTGACCATGTATTTCGGCTTTAATCTCAGGCACGCTTAAAAGTAAGCCCCACCCCATGAATGTGATTGGTTTCAAGGCAAACCTGAACATATCTGCAAAGTTTACCGAAGTCTGATTTTTTTTTCCATCTCGGTTGGTTGTTGTTGATTTATTTATTTATTTTTTTAAAAGAAAGCTTGCAGAAAGAATACAGTCCGTTCCCTGTGAGGTTTCTTTGTGCATCACAAGTGTCTCTTGCTGAAAGGCGATATCCAGCACTGCTCAAAGGCACTTTTCGTTGTGACCCGCCAGTGGTCAGCAGAGCTGGCAGCAGATTCGGACAGTAAGGAGGTTGGGGAGGAACATGGGCCAGCCCTGGAGTCTGGGGAGGGCTCTGCATCGGAGGCAGAGAGGGGGTCAGGGCAGTCTGACAGTTATCAGCTGCCTTTGGAGTCAGACATCAGTGAGGCAGATGAATAGCTGGATCCTGTTCCCAGTGTGCGCATGAGCAGAGTTACCAGACGAAGGGAACAGCTAAAGAACAAGGGTCGACTTGGGAGTAAGGCCACAGGTGGACGATGAATGGCCCCTCCCAGAGGGAATAAAAGAGGAGCGAACGGGGAGGGGAGTTTGCAGGAGATAAATTAGTGACTCTCAGAGAATCCTTGCCAAGTTTTGAAGATATCAGCCTGGCAGCTTGCCAAGCCAGATAAGGTCTGTGACTGTAAATGCTCTCTTGAAAGACTTTGTTGGATGTGAATGTGAGAAATTCACAGTAACTTAATAAAAAGGGTTGTCGGCACAAGGGGTTTGCATCGTGGTTTGGGAATGCCTACTTCAGAACACTTTTGTTATTTTTTTTTCTAAGATTGGTTTTTTTTAAAAAGAACCCTATTTCTAATGTTGACTGTAACGGTGTTTACTGATGACTATAAAAGAAGATGTACGCCCTCGGGTCATGCATCCGTTTCCCTTATGCCATCTCTGATGGCCAGTTTTTGGAAGTTTCCAGCAGAAAAAGTGTTTAGGCACAAAGTCAGATCCTCCTCCATCTTCGGTTTGGCGCCTCACTGGCGTCCTGCCATAAAGAGGGAAGGGAGCGGAAAGGAAGAAGGAAGCAATTGGGTAATATACACTTGTACACAACAATGGTGGGAATTGGGGAGAGGGGAATGACAGGTGAAGGAGAGCAGAGCGGTTCAGGCCATTTATGCCTGCATCTTCAAGGCCGTTTGTCCTGGGTGTGAAATTCCAGCATCTCAAACATCCCAGCGTTTCTCAAAACATTACGGCAATGCCGGATTGGTCAATGATGAAACTGACTAATTTTGCTTCTTGGATGAATGATAAGAGAAGGCAAAGATCCATGCAGCGAGAAAGGAAAACTGTTCCCAGAGGCAGTGGCTTAAAATCCAGTGGGCTAATCCCCTCAGGGGGAAAAAAATTGGAGGCAGAAGAAGGCAACAACAAGAATCAAAATAGAAATGCTGAGATGGATTATGTTCTCTGCCCTGATTGTGGGATTTTCGTGTGGATCCAAATTGTGATCCCTGGGCGGACAGAGATCAGGTTTTGCCGTGTAAGGTCAACAGGGGGAAGAATAAGTAGTCTTGGATACGTTGGATGAAGAAGGACCTTGGCTATCCCAAGCTTGGGGCAAGGAGTAAATTGAGTTCCAGCCTCTTTCTCAATCCAGGGTAGGAGGGCCAGGTCTGTAGAGAAGGCAAAAATCTGTAAGAAGGCATCTAGAGCTTTGAGTAGTAGGCTTCAAGGCAATTCCCTCTTGCCTCTTCTATTGTCTATGCTGGAGGAAGATCTCAAGGGGTTGGCTTGATAACTTCAGCCTTGAGAGGTGGCTATTGTTTTGACCTCCATTATCGTCAATCAATTTCTTCGGCTATATCTGGAAAGAAAAGGACAATAACTTTTCAAAATTGGGATGGGTTAGTCTTCCAAGTAGGTCCAAAGTATTGGGCTGGGGAAGATGGGGACACCTCAAAGGGTAGGCTATCAGAGTCCCCTCCTCATTGCATCCCCGTGTTCCTCAACCTTAGCAACTTCAAGATGAGTAGACTTCTGGCTGGCTGGGGAATTCTGGGGGGGTTGAAGCCCAAAGATCGTAAAAACAAAACCAATCCCGTTTGTGTCACAAAATAGGGAGAAATGCATCTGCCCACCCGTGTAGAAAGAATGGGCTGGAAAAGTCAGCGCCACCCCCACCCACCCCCAAGAAAACCGTTGAGCTATGAATCCACTGGCAGTGTCCATTTTGCTGTCCAAATTCATGGGGACCTAACCCTAAGTGGGTTGGTCCCCCTATGGGATTTTCCCATGTATTTTACCAGGAAACGTAGATAGGATGGGGTGGAAAAGTCAGCGCCTTCCTAAACATACCCATGAGCTGCGAATCTATTGGCAGTGTCCATTTTTCTGTCTGAATTCATGGGGATCTAACCAGTGGTTAAATCCTCCTTGGATTGCCACCGGTTTGCTGCCTGTGCATGCATGGTGAGCCCCAAAGGACTCTGCATGCACATGCGCAGTGCGTGCCAAATGCGTGCTTCGCATGGAAAAAGAAGACTTCAGTAGGTAAGTAGAACAGCGAGGGGGGTAACAGCTGTGCTGCGCGATTTAGCTTCGCTAGAAAGCAGGATTTCCTGCTTCTAGCGAAGCTAAACCGTGCAGCACAGCTGATCGTCGGAAATACCGGTTCAGACGAACCAGTAGCTTTTTTAAACTACTAGTTCCACCGAACTGGTAGCTTTTTTAACTACCGGTTCAACTGAACCGGTAGCTAACTACCGATTTGCCCAAACTGGTAGCTTTTAAAACTACTGATTCAGTTGAACTACCGGTTTGCCTGAAGCGGAGTGAACCGGTAGCATTTCACCCCTGGACCTAACTCTAACCCTAAGTGGGTTTGCCCCCCTATGGGATTTTCCAATGTATTTTACCGGGAAACGTAGATAGGATGGGGTGAAAAAGTCAGCACCCTCCTAAGCATAGCAATGCACTATAAATCAGTCAGTAGTGCTCATTTTGTTGTCCAGATTCATGGGGACCTAACCCTAACCTTAAGTCAGTGTTTCTCAACCTTAGCAATTCTATGACATGTGGACTTCAACTCCCAGAATTCCCCAGCCAGCAAGTCTGGCTAGGGAATTCTGGGAGTTGAAGTCTGCACATCTTAGATTTAGCAAGGTTGAGAAACACTGCCTTAAGTGATTAGGGTTAGGTCCCCATAAAATAGTGTTCAGTGATTACTAGGCACACACTTTCTCTCTCTCTCTCGTTTGTTCGGATTTGGCTTTGAGATGACAAGTGAAGGATGAAGCCTAATCCGAGCAAGGGCAAAGCACCATGTCCTTACTTCTGTGTCAAAATCAAAGCAGGGGTGGGGGGAAGTCATGTAACGGAACTGCCAAGTTTAGTCACTGCCATTGGTTGCAAGAGAGGACGAAAGCGAGATTTAATCCGGATCGCTCTGTAGCCAGAACAAATGCACCACTCATTTCTGGCCTCCCACCCACCCCCTCGGTTTGAAAGGACCTGAAGCTACGACGCTGCACCTGTGTTTGCTGCAAAGAGCAACTGCCCTTACCTTCTTTGACATCCGTGTTTTTCAGAGGTTGCAAGGCTGTCCATGCAATGGGGAGGGGGGAAAAAAAAGAAGAAGGCGTCAGTGGATTGAGCCCCAGAGGAGGGGTGAAAACAGTAGGGTGACTCTTACGGAGTCTGAACATCTCTCTAAGAGTAGTTCAAAGCAAAGAGTTGGTTTTACTCTCCTGTTAGAGCAGTGTTTCTCAACCTTGGTAGTTTGAAGATGGGAGAACTTCAACTCCCAGAATCCCCCAGCCAGCAGCGCTGGCTGGGGGATTCTGGGAGTTGAAGTCCACCCATCTTCAAGCTTCCAAGGTTGAGAAACATTGTGTTAGAGCAACTTTCAACTGTTATACGATGTACAAAAGGAAGTCCTGCACTGCCCCTTGCTGGCCACATTGTAAAACCCGCAATATTCTATTTCTGGGATACCGGCAGAATGCCAAGGAATTCTCGCGCCTTTATTCGAAATCAAAACTCTCACCGTTTTCGATTTCGATAAAGGAGACTATATGTAGCTCAGGGTTGAAATGAGGGGGGGTTTCCCTCGCTGCTCTCTCTGAGTTTGGTGGCTTTCTTGTAGATGTTTCCTGACCCAAACGGGGTGATACCATCAGCACTAGAAAGGAGCAGAGTTTGCAGGGAGGAGGATGACTGAGAGGGAGATTGGGGAGGGGAGAGGGAGGGGGAGGACAACGTTGACTTTAGGGTCCTAGATGCTCTCTAAACTTGGTGGTTTTCTTGCACATATTTCATTACCAAACTAGGTAACATTATCAGTGCTAATAAGGAGTGGCGTTTGCTCCCACTTTATATTCTGGTGACTTGCCCTATCTGTGTTGGTTGAGGTCATCCTGGGCTGTTTACTGTCTTCTTTGGCAGTTCCTTGATTGGGGTATTGTTTATTTCTTGATTTTTAGTCCGATGTTAGTCTCGGTGTTCAACTCTGCCTTCTCTGTGGGGGCACCCAGCGTCTGGAACGAGCTCCCCCCGGAGATACGGAGGATCTACACGCTTTCCGCCATGCCATCAAAACATTTCTATTTCAGCAAGCCGGCCTGGCCTAACCTCTCTTTTAAATTGTTTTTAAAACTTTTTAAAATTTTAAACTTGTCTTATGTATTTGGGTGTTTTAAATTTCGTTTTCCGGGCCGATTATTTAATTGTATTTTAATGGGTTTTTTAACGTTTGTATTATATGTATTTTATTTGGCTGTTGACCGCCCTGAGTTCTTCGGGAGTAGGGCGGTATACAAATTCAATAAATAATAATAATAATAACTACGCTCATCTGAGTGTTGATTGCTGGTGGGGAGGTGTTTTGGATCCCGTTTTGGATTTTTTGTTCCCTTTTGGGCTTCTGGATTGTCACTTTTGCCCAGTATGTAGATGTTGTTTATGACCATAAAACAACAGGAAATTACAGTCCTTGACTTATGATTGATTGCTTAGTGACCATTCGAAATTACGACCCACCTGCCAAGAGGACTTACAACCTGCATCCAACGTTTTGACAGTCACTGGCCCTCTATTGTGGTTTCACAATTACAATATTACACAATATCCTTTTTTTTTTTTTTGCTGGGTTCATTAAGCAAACCACTGCAGCTGTTAAATGAATCACACCGTCGGTAAACAAATCCGGCTTCCCTCCATTGGCTTTGCTTGTTGGAAGGTTGTAACTTCGAACGGTCACTAAATGAATGGCTGCAAGTCGAGGACTATTTTGTACTTCTGAGAACAACCAAGCGCAGAGGTATGTCTGGAAGTATCAATCAAGGACTGATAGAAGATCAAACTGTTGTCTGACCTGTTTTGGAACCTTCTCCGTCATTTAACTCCTCTAGTCCTGAAGGAGGAAAAAAAGATCAGGTTAAAAACAAAATGAATGAACCAGCCTAGACCTGACATCCGTGCGAAATTTGCTGGAAGGCTTGCAAATCCATCTTGTCAAAGATCGACTCACGAGCCAGGACTCTGGGTTGGATCAAAGGTGGATAACTGAAACTGGCTGAAGGCCAACTCAAGCAAGCCATCATTGCCCCAACATCCTCTGGGAATAGCAATAGCACTTAGACTTATATACCGCTTCACAGTGCTTTTACAGCCCCCTCTAAGAGGTTTACAGAGTCAGTCTCTTGGCCCCCAACAATCTGGGTCCTTGGAAGGAGGGAAGGCTGAGTCAACCTTGAGCCGGTCAGGATCGAACTCCTGGCAGTGGACAGAGTTAGCCTGCAATGCTGCATTCTAACCACGGGAAGGGAAGGGAAGGGAAGGGAAGGGAAGGGAAGGGAAGAAAGGGAAGGGAAGGGAAGGGAAGGGAAGGGAAGAAGGAAGGAAGGAAGGAAGGAAGGAAGGAAGGAAGGAAGGAAGGAAGGAAGGAAGGAAGGAAGGAAGGAAGGAAGGAAGGAAAATAGCAATAGCCCTTAAGACTTATATACTGCTTCACAGTGTTTTACAGCCCTCTCTAAGCGGTTTACAGAGTCAGCCTCTTGCCCCCAACAATCTGGGACCTCGGAAGGAGGGAAGGCTGAGTCAACCTTGAGCCGGTCAGGATCGAACTCCTGGCAGTGGGCAGTATTAACCTGCAATGCTGCATTCTAACCACTGGAAGGGAATGAAGGAATAGAGGAAGGGAGGGAGGGGGGGAGGGAGGGAGGGAGTAAGAAGGAAGGAAGGAGGAAGGAGGAAGGAAGGAAGGAGGAAGGAAGGAAGGAAGGGCACTTAAACTTATAAACGGCTGCTTTACAGCCCTCTCTAAGAGGTTTACAGAGTCAGCATTTTGCCCCCAACAATCTGGGTTCTCATTTTACCCCTCGGAAGGATGGAAGGCTGAGTCAACCTTGAGCCAGCCTGGATCTAACTTCTGGCAATGGACAGAGTTGGCCTGCAATGCTGTATTTTAACCACTGGAGGGAATGAAGGGAGGGAGGGAGGGAGGAAGGAAGGAAGAGCACTTAGACTTATAAACGGCTGCTTTACAGCCCTCTAAGTGGCTTACAGAGTCAGCCTCTTGCCCCCAACAATCTGGGTCCTCATTTTACCGACCTCAGAAGGATGGAAGGCTGAGTCAACCTTGAGCCTGGTGAGATTTGAACTGGCAAATTGCAGTCAGCAGAAATACCCTGCCCTACTGCATTCTAACCACCGCGGCTCTTGATGGAAATGCTTTGTTCTATCTTCGATACGGTTTAATATTTAGAACAACGAGGAGACGTTAGAGCTGCGCGGGTAGCACCTCTCTGCAAATGCCTTCAACCGATGTTTTTCAATCTTGGCAACTCTTAAGATGGGTGGACTTCAACTCCCAGAATTCTGGGAGTTGACGTCCATCCATCTTCACGTTTCCAAAGCTGAGTAACACTGCTTTGAATTAAAGGCATTCTTCCCCAGGACCGTGAGGCAATTGTAAAAGACAGCCACGAAGGCACATACCAAAAAGACACAGCTGCTTTCAAGAGTTGCAGACAGATGCTAGCTTCCCAGCCCTACGAAGCACCATGTTGCCTTCAAACTCCAAGCAGCGCATCGCCCTGGAAATATCTGGGGGAGCGTGGGGGGGGGGGGGGTTGGGGGAGTTGAACAGGTGTTCAATGCGTGCGTTAAGACGGAGCGAAGCTAATTTGGCGGAGAGGGCTAAAATCTCTGCATATTTGAAGGACCGTTCGAATGAAAGGTATGTACTGGAATAGAAGATGGATTGACTATACACTAAACAAACATGGGACTAAAAAGTTGCAAATAGCTTATGAATGAAATATTTAGATGATTTTTCTTTTTACTTTGACATTTTGGTACCTATGGCGGAGTTAAAGGGTAAGGGGAAGTTAAGAGTTTATAGTTAGTTTGCTTATGTTAGATTATGTTTGTTAAATGCAATACCCTGTATTTTGCTCTGGGAAGTCGGGGGGGCGGGAGGGAGAGGGGAAGGGGTGGGGGAAGGGGGGGGATTGTGTTTGTAAAACATTTAAAAACTTTTCAATAATAAAAAAAAAAAGACGGAGCGAAGCCTACGTGCAGGTAACTCTTACCGGCTTTCGCTTTCTCCTCTTTGCAACTTTGCCGGATTTTCTTCTGGCAGACGTATGCCAGGACGATCAGAAGGAGGACAAGGCAAATCGACAGCCCCACCGTGACCCACAGAGCTACTGCCGGGAACAGAAGGTGTTGTCCTGGAAGGAGACAAAGAGAAGGAAAAACGGGGGTGGGATGACACTGTGATTGCCAACGTCCTGGAGCGGGATGACCCAAGGAAAACTCCACCACGTGGGTTTGATGCCACACCACATACCACAAGGGGCCGCAAAGAGCTGTTGGCTGCCAAGAGTTTACTTAGAAGCCAAAGCCCCTAATAATGCAGCTAAATGCTTCAATTGCCACCGTTTCCCAAGATTTCCTTTGACGCCTTTTCTTCTGTTGCATGCGCTTATCTCTGCGACGCTGTTGAGGATCCAGCCAAGACTCATTACCCTCATCACTGTCCACCTGTGGCTGCATGGACGTGCTTGGCCCCGGCCCTATCTCTTGCCCTTCGGCGGACACCGAAGGCATTGCCAGAGAGAAGGGTCCTGGAGAGGGAGGCCTTGCCAACTTCTCTCCTTCACTCTCTGAGTCCTCTCCTGCCGATGACCCAGGCTCAGGTAACAGAGCCACAACATGGTCCCACCCTACTGGGCTCCATCAAATGGCATCGTGTGTTTAACCAAAATGTTTATGCTCCCGAAGGGACCTTCTCTCACAAAGCAGCGATTGCTGTGCCAAGGACAATTAAACCCTAATTAATGTTACCATCAAGTGAAGGAGGTTAGCGAGAACTTGGGAGAAGTCTATAAAAATTGAAATGGCTCGAAGACATCTGGAAAGCCGGGAAATGTAGGTTGGCAAGGCAAGCGGGCGTCAGACTGCTCGGAGGGGAAAAGGTCAGACTTTCCCGAAACCTGATCCTTTGGAAGGCTGTAATCCTACACTGGGCTCTTGTCTTGGCAGGTTTGGGAAATAACAGTGGTTTATTTGCTTAAGGTAAAATTAAAGATTCCCCTCGCACATATGTGCTAGTCGTTCCCGACTCTAGGGGGTGGTGCTCATCTCTGTTTCAAAGCTGAAAAGCGAGTGCTGTCCGAAGACGTCTCTGTGGTCATGTGGCTGGCATGACTCAACGCCAAAGGCACACAGAACATTGTTACCTTCCCACCAAAGGTGGTCCCTATTTTTCTACTTGCATTTTTAACCTGCTTTCGAACTGCTAGGTTGGCAGAAGCTGGGACAAGTAACGGAAGCTCACCCCGTTACGCGGCACTAGGGATTAGAACCGCTGAACTGCCGACCTTTCGATCGATAAGCTCGGCATTTTAGCCACTGAGCCACCACGTATCATACCTTTCAAAAGGCTCTGACGATCCCAGCTGAGTTGCCTGACCGACAGTGGCTTTTTTTTTTTCTTTTAAATGCCTCTGACGATCAGGCAACTCAGCTTGGATCGTCAGAGGCATTTAAAAGGAAAAAAGGGGTGAAAAAAGAGCCGCGCGATCATCAGAGGCTTTTTTTTTTTACTTTTAAAAGCATTTTTTCATCCGAAGAGGTTGTAAAAAATGCTTTTAAAAGTAAAAAAAAAAAAAAGCCTCTGATGATTGTGTGGCTCAGCTGGGCATGGAAAGTGGGAGGCAGGGATTTTTGCTATTGATTCTCTGAACCATCCGCCTCCATCGCTACCGGATCAGGCGATCCGGTCCGAACCAGGAACATTTCACCCCTGATGTAGACCCCTACAGCCAATGTAGATCCCTACTCACCGACTATCTCAGATTTCACCCTGTTCCAAAAGGCACAAACCTGTGATAGTGACGGAAGCATGAGTCACCTCTTGAAGCAAAGGATTCTTGATCAGGCAACTGTAAGTGCTGTTGGGTTCAAGCACCACCTGCAGGACACTCTGGACGTCGAAGAGGCCCTGCTCATTGGCCACCTGGGAGGTGGTGATGTTGTCGGTGATGTTGTTGCCGTGGCCATCTTGCCAGAGCACAACAGCTTCAGGGTACCCCGAAAAGCTGTGGCATCTCACTTTGACCAGGTCACCGGGCTTCAGGTTCTTGCTGGGTTCCAAATTGACGTTCGGCTTGGAGTAGGTAGCTAAAACGGGAGAAGAATGGATGAGAGAGGATTCGGGACCAAACCCAGGTCAATACAGGTAGTCTATCAACTTGCAAAGCTTTCAAGTTGCCATGAGCAGGAGGGAGGAGAACTGAAGTGCATTCCATACATTCTTCCTGACCGCAATAAGAAGGAGGGTGTTAGGTTTCACAGCCAGCCAAAGTGGTTAATTGGAGAATGTGATTTATGACATGGCCAGAGAGGAGGGGAGAGACAGGGTCATAGGGGAACGTAAATCTACGTAGGATCAGTCCTAACTGCATCCGAGTATTGCCAGAATGTTGCTCCTAATAAATGGCTATATTTCCTTTGAAGTTTGGATTATGGCTCATGAATTAATTAGGGCATCTTTCGGAAACGTGACATAGTCCTTGACTTACAATCATTTAGTTAGCGACTGGAATTGGGTATGTCTAGTTTGGTGAAAAAGAAGGACTACAAGGGGAGACATGATAGCAGCGTTCCGATATTTGAGGGGCTGCCCCAAAGAAGAGGGAGCCAAGCTATTCTGCAAAGCACCTGAAGGCAGGACAAGAAGCAATGGATGGAAACTCATCAAGGAGAGATCCAAGGATAACTAAGGAGAAATGTCTTGATATTTAGAACAATTAATCGGTGGAACAATTTGCCTCCAGAACTTGTGGGTGCTTCAAAACTGGAGGTTTTTAGGGAAGAAATTGAGCAGCCATTTGTCTGGAATGAAATAGGGGCAGCGGGTTGGATTAGGTGTTCTCCAAGGTCCCTTCCAACTCTCGGTATGTCAATGAGGAGGCTGGAGAAGATGTGGTGCCAGAGGTGGGGATTCAGCCAGGGCCTTCAGAACCTCTAGAAGCTCCCATAAGTGAAGAGGAAGAAGAGGAGGAGCCTCTTCTCGATGCACGGGCGCACAGAGCTGCCAAAAGGCAGGAGTGGCTCCTCAGGAGGAGGTCTCCTCGAGAGTAAGGCTTGGGGCTAATTGGCCACTCCCTTAGCCTATTTAAGGAGGAATGCCGACTGAAACAATTTGCAGGGAACAACTTCGTTCACATACCTTCGTGCCTTGTCTTGCTTATCTTATCAGCTTCCTGCAAATTGCATTCTGGGCATTCTGCCAACCACAGTAAGCTTTCAGTTATTATCCTTTGAATTCTTGGCGGCTGTTAATGCAGTTAATTAACAGCCGTTGTTGTAAAAGACCGGTTTATTTAGTAAACTAAGGTTTGAACGGACTTTGTGGGTACTGCGTTCTTTGGGGTCCGTAGCTGGGGCAGAGCACTCAAAGCTCACCTGCCATTTGCAGACTCACAGCCGCCCTGCTGAAGTCCCGCACTTTGACGAAGCAGGTGAAGCTCCCTTCGTCGGAAATCTGCACCCGGCGTAGGAGCAGGGACATGTTGCCGTGGGCCAGCTGGTCATAGAAGAGGGCGGTGCGGTTGGCGTAAGTGCTGCCCTGGTAGGCCGGCTGGTCCTGGCCTTCCGTGAAGCTGTGCACCAGCTGGTTGGTGTCGGTCACCTGCCAGAAGAGGCTGAGCTCGTTCAGAGTGAAGTTGGACTCCGGTGAGAAGGAACAGTGGAGAACGGCATCTTGGCCAACCAAGGCCACCACGGGGTCTTCAGAGACCTTGATCTCCATGGCTCCTGATGGGGAAGAGGACAACACAACGCTTAAGACACTGGTGACATCCAAATTTTTTTTACTACCAGTTCTGTGGGCGTGGTTTGGTGGGCATGGCAGCGGAAGGATACTGCAAGATCTCCATTCCCTCCCCACTCCAGGGGAAGGATATTGCAAAATCCCCATTCCCTCCCCACTCTGGGGGAAGGATACTACAAAATCTGCATTCCCATCCCACTCCAGGAGAAGGATGCTGAAAAATCTCCATTTTCTCCCACCCACTCCAGGGGAAGGATATTGCAAGATATCCATTCCCACCCCACTCTGGGGCCAGCCAGAGGTGGTATTTGCTGGTGGGTGGGTGGGTGGGGGTGTTTGGGGATTGTTGTGTGTGTTGCACCTGGTCTTTGGGTGTTAAGTGAATTTCGTTGTATGGGTATACTATGTATACACGTACAATGACAATAAAGTTGTTGTTGTTGTTGTTGTTGTTGTTGTTGTTGTTATTATTATTATTATTATTATTATTATTATTATTTAAGACACACCTGACTTTCTGCTTTCTTTTTGGCATCCAGCTTTGAAGTGCAGAAGACTCTCTTCTGGAGAGACCCTCGTTCTGTTCACACCCAACTTTGGATACCAAAATCCCCAATGAGGAATAGCCTGAAGTCTAGAGGAACGGTACCCACATCGGAACAACATCCAGCAGCCCAATAGAAAAGGATGATGTTTTTTTTTTTAAAAAAAAATCACACAACAACCCAGAAGCTCAGATGTTCACCTCTAGATGTCAGTCTAGCTTCATCACATCGGCTTTATGCCTCTTAGTAGCTCTGGATGCATTTGGGGGGAGGGAGACCGAGCTGACTCCGAGTGTCAACAATCCAGAGCAGGGGTCTCCAACCTTGACAACTTTAAGCCTGGTGGACTTCAACTCCCAGAATTCTCAACTCCCACTTTTACTGGCTGGGGAATTCAACTCCCAGCTTTGCTGGCTGGGGAATTCTGGGAGTTGAAGTCCTCCAGGCTTAAAGTTGCCAAGGTTGGAGATTCCCTGGTCCAGAGAACTAAAAGACACTGAAATCTTTCATTCATGCACATACGTGCTTTGATGAGAGCAAAGAACCAGTCAGATGTTCGATACGGGACTGCCAGTGGGATAGGTGAAGCTTCCAAGAAGATTAGAAAAGCTTTTGATGCTGGGAGTGGAGAAGAAATGGGTTCACTATGACAGGTAGTCCTCAATTTACGACCGCAATTGGGGACAGAATTTCCGTTGTTAAGCAAGAAGGTTGTTAAGTGAGTTGCACCCGATTTTTGCTACACTTGCCACTGCAGTTGCTATCCGAGCCCTACTACTCTTTGGAAAACTGGGTTAGGGTCCTTTCTGAAACATTTCCCATGCCCTCCCACCTTCTGTGGGTAGAGGTACCTTTAACACATAGGTTATAAGGTCTCTCCTTCTTCTCTTTCCAGAGCATTCCCACAGATCATGACACTTCAACGAGGTTAAGGTTAAGGATGACCTATATCTCCTTATGGTTCTGAAATTGTTATATGATGCCAATAAAGGGGAATCTTTGTAGCTCAGGGTTGAAATGAGGGGTCCTTGGTGCTCTCTGAGCTTGGTGGTTTTCTTGCAGAAGTTTCGTGACCCAACAAGGTAACGTCATCAGTGCTAGAAGAGAGGGGGGTTGCAGAGAAAAGGAGGAGGAGGAGGAGGAGGAGGAGGAGGAGGAGGACGACGACGACGACGACGACGATTGTGGGATACTTGGTGTTCTCTGAACTCGGTTGGTTTTCTTGCAGACATTTCATGACCCAACAAGGTAACATCATCAGTGCTAGAAGAGGGGGGAGGGCTGCAGAGAAAAGGAGGAGGAGAAGGAGATGAAGAGGAGGAAGAAGAGGAGGAGGAGGAGGACTGTGAGGTCCTTGGTGCTCTCTGAGCCTGATCCCTGCAGATGTCTCATGATCCAACTAGATAACATCCTCAGTGCATCAGAAGGAGATATACGTCATCCTTAATCAAATCAAACTTGGAACCGGGAAGGCAGAAGTTAGGAAGGCAAGTCCATGATGCTCCTCTTACTTACCTAGCCAGGTGGGCAGGAGAAAACCCAGAAGCAGCAACTGGACACACAGCTTCCATGCAAAGGAAGAGTCCTGGGAGCCAGGAGGCCCGCAAGCGTTGGGGAACATGGTCATGAGAAAGCGGCGATCCTCTTCCTGAAGGAAAACCAGACAGGATAAGTAAGACCTATGCAAAACACCAGATTTATTCATGATACATAGAGAACTCTACGAGTTGTGGACAATCCAAGCACATTGATGGGTTGATCCCACAAAATCCTTTTTTTTTATATAAAAAGTTTTTTTTATTTTTATAAACAAAACAAACATACAATAAATACATCATCTGAGTACATCTTTTGTGTCTTCTCCCTACTCCTCAATTATTTCACGTATCTTAATATTTATCATTTCATTTATTATGCCATTTCTCCCACCTTCAACATCAAGTCAGTGGCATTGAAACAGCCCTAAGGTGTCTTTCAATCTTCTAACTGAAATTCATTTCTCCCCCGGAAGACCCATCAAATGTTCTGCAGGGAGTTATATCAGCTTCTTTCTTCTGCTGTCTTTCCCCCACCCACTCTTGGCTCTCTAATTATGATTGTGACAAGCCTATTTATTTGACATCATCAGGAACGTTCTATTTATAAGGTCTTCTGGGTTTATATTTTTAGCCTCCTTCTACCAGGATTCTCCTGCTTTCCCTTTCCCTTACCAACAGAACCCTGTAATTGTCAAGGCTATTTTCTTTTCCTGCCAGCAAAGCGGGCCAGCTGCATTACACGGCAGAAAATTCAAGTGTGCAAGATAAGCGCACAATGCCAAATTCTCCTAAAAGGCAGCCAGGGATTGTGGGGAGAAATACATGCAAGCTTAGAATGACATAATATTCTTCCCCCTCTGGAATTGTGCTTGGACGGTCGTCTTAAAAGTCTAACGCCCCAATTCAACGCATAATATAATGTTGTATCTAAATTGGGACACTGGATTTTGAAATGTTTGCTTCCATCCACCGAGTCACCTTTCCTGTGTGATTGTGCAAACAATCTATCTCTGCACTAGCCTTGGCAAGCCCAGCTGTCTTGTGCATTCCTCAAAACATGCAAAGAGCCATCAGAAAAGAACAGTCTGGTCCCGGGACTATTAGTCAGGCCCCTTCTTTGCAGAACTGAAATTTACAAAGCTCGGGCAATCCGCCCTCAACGTCCTTGGCTTCAAAAAAAAAAAAAAAATCAGAAGCATGATTTCAGTTTTAAAAAAGAAGTGAGTTGGAATGACACTCTTCGGGATCATTGGCCAACCATGAGGGCTGAAAATGGTTGCAAGCGATAAATCCAAAAGATCTGGAGAAGGTTATGTTGGTCTATGTGCTCCCATTGAATTCGTCATTGGAAGCTCCTCCCTGTATACTGCACGAGTCAAAAAGAGGGCTGGGAAAGTATTTACAGACCCCTCGCATCCTGGACATAAACTGTTTCAACTCCTACCCTCAAAACGACGCTATAGAGCACTGCACACCAGAACAACTAGATGCAAGGACAGTTTTTCCCCGAACGCCATCACTCTGCTAAACAAATAATTCCCTCAACACTGTCAAACTATTCACTAAGTCTGCATTACTATTAATCTTCTCATCGTTCCTATCACCCATTTCCTCCCACTTATGACTGTATGACTGGAACTTGTTGCTGTATCCTTGCGATTTAGATTGTTTCCTAGTAGGATTTGATTGCTTATTTGTACCCTATGACTATCATTAAGTGTTGTACCTTACGATTCTTGATGAAGGTATCTTTTCTTTTATGTACACTGGGAGCATATGCGCCAAGACAAATTGGACACACTTGGCCAATAATAATTCTATTCTATTCTTCTCAAAGGTGTAAATGTCTAGTTTAATGAAAAGAAGGACTAAGAGTGACATGATAGCAGTCTTCCTATATCTCAGGGGCTGCCACAAAGAAGAGAGGTCAACCTGTTCTCCCAAGGACCTGAAAGCAGGACAAGAAGCAATGGATGGAAATTAATTAAGGAGAGAAACAACCTGGAATTAAAGAGACACTTCCTAACAGTGAGAACAATTAACCAATGGAAAGACTTGACTCCAGAATTGTGGGTGCTTCAACACCAGAAGCCTTTAAGAAGAGATTGGACAACCATTTGTCTGAAATGGTACAAGGTTTCCTGCTTGAGCAGGGAGTTGGACTAGAAGACCTCCAAGGTCCCTTCCAATTCTGTTATTCTGATATTTTGTCCACACCACTGGAGGTTTTTAAGAAGAGATTGGACAGCCATTTGTCTGAAATGGTATAGGGTTTCCTGCCTAATCAGGGGGCTGGACTAGAAGACCTCTAAAATCCCTTCCAATATTCTGTTCAATTACACTAACTATGGAAACTGACCAACCCTATTTAACTAGAGAAAAGATTGCTCTCGCTTCAGCTCCTTGATCATTCTTTCCCCTGGACCTAATGACATCTTCTTGGTCTCTGGAGAGGAGATGGTGAAAAGAGCCATCTAACCAATCTTGCATAATGAAGTCATCCCACCAAAGGAAACAGATGGCCAGCTGTGCTGCCACAGAGGCGTCCTACCCAAAGGGAGATTTCAGGAAGTGAGGAAGGATAGTTTGAATGACACACACCAAGAGACAGGCACCCTTTGAACCTGGCATTCCCACCAGAGGCTGGGAAGTGCTTTCGCCCAGATGGCACAGAGTTAGATTGGGTTAATTCTCCAACTGAGCCCAAGAAAGTGCTTTTCCATTCTTACGCGACCAGAACCTGATGGTCAAAAGACCACAATCTGCTTTGCTCTGCCGATTTCACCACATCCATCGGATGTGGTCATTTGTCTGGTTCCAAGCCCAGTTGGCCACATGGAAGTTCCCTGGTGTGGCCACAATTTCAGTTTTCTAAATTAATATTAGACTCTGGAGCTCCAAAAGGTAAGTAAGAGGAGGGGGAATAGAATAGAACTAAAGAGAACAGAAAATAATCAGAACAGGACAGAAGAGGGGATGGGAAGGGAAGGGAGGGGAGGAGAGAGAGAAGAAAAGGGAAGGGAAGGGAAGGGAAGGGAAGGGAAGGGAAGGGAAGGAAGAGAAGAGAGAGAAGAGAAAGAGAAGAGAAGAGAAGAGAAGAGAAGAGAAGAGAAGAGAAGAGAAATTTTCCTGGGAATTTCCAAAGCCAATTTTGAAAACACACACCGACAGGAGTTCCAGTCTAAAGTACAGCTTAGGTCACATTTGCAGTCTCTGAGATGCAAATGATAAGTTTGTTAAACTTTTCTGCTGAATACACTGCTGTGGGTTTTATATATATATATATATAACCCACAGCATGTAGCATGTAATATGTATGTACGTAAGTATGTATGTATATATGCCACAATATATATACATGCTACATATATATATACATACATACACACACACACATATATACACACTGCTCAAAAAAATAAAGGGAACACAAACAGAAGACATCCGAGATCTGAATGAATGAAATAGCCTTATTAAATACTTTGTTCTTTACCTACAGTAGTTTTGTGTTCCCTTTAGTTGTTTGAGCAGTGTATAAACTACTGTAGGTAAAGAACAAAGTATTTAATAAGTCTATTTCATTCATTCAGATCTCGGATGTCTTCTGCTTGTGTTCCATATATATATATATATATATATGCTACATACATATAGCTTATTTATGTGTCTCAGAATATATATATTTTATTTATTTATTTATTTTTCATATTTGTATACCGCCCTACTCCCGAAGGACTCAGGGCGGTGAACATCCAAAAATAAAATACAAAGACATACAAAAGTTAAAAACTATTAAAAAAACAGATTAAATAATTTAGGCTCAGAGATTAAAAACATCCGATTTATCTAAAAGAGATTTTAATACCCAATTTAAAAGCCAATACATGCCTTCTGAGCCACATCGCCGCCCTCTGCAGTGCAAGCCGGATCGCAATTCGGATTCCGACCACCGCCACTGCCGCCCCTTCCCCCTTTTCGCCTCCCAGACAACAGAAGGTCATTTGTTGATTGAGGACCCCTGCCCCTTTCAAGGACCCTTCCCGACCCCCACCCCCACCCCTCGTTCTTCCCGGAGAGGAGCTGGGGGGGGCGCTCTTAAGGTGACCCCCCCCTCCGGCGGGGCTGGCTGGGTGAGAAGCGGTGAAAGAAGCGGAGCTAACTTCTCTGGAGACCTCCGTGGCCGGCGGAAAAGCGGGTCCGAAGCCAACGGCGGGAACGAGCCGCGGCTGAGCTCAGAATGCTGCGGGGGGGAAAAGAGACTTCCACGCATCGGGAGCCCCGTCCAAAGGGCTTTGTTTTGGGCAAGGAGGCGCGGCGACGGGGAGGGGGAGGTCAGGAAAAGCCCCTTCCAGCTGCCTTCTAGCCCCGGAGGAAGGGAGGGCGAGCGGGGTGGGCAAGGCAGGGGCTGCTCCGCTTCCTTCCCTTCGGCTGCTAAGCCGTGCCTTCTTTCCCTGCGCCCCCTCCCCAAATCAGCCCGGCTTACCCTGCCCCGCAATCCAAGTCCGTCCAAGTTGCTGCAGCCTGGCCGGAGTCCGGTTCGCTTTACCCGATTGTCCTCCTCCCTTCTTCCTCCTCCTCCTCCTCCTCCTCCTCCCGCCGCCCTTCCTTTCCAGGACCGGCAGACAAGGGCGGGTCTCCTCCACCGCTTTCTGCGTACCCTCCGGGCGCGCGGGTCCCAGCTCGTCCGACAGCCCCGCCGGGCACCTCCCTGCGCCCTCGAGGGCGAGAGCCGGAGGGAGCTGAGCCCCAGTTGGAAAAAGGAAAGCAATCCCAGCCCTCTGGCTTCCGGGGTGGGGAGAGCGGGGATCTGGGCACTGGATGGGGGGGGGAGGGAAGGAGGGAAGGTGGAAGGGGGCCAAGAGGGAGGAGGGGAAAGGGGAAGGGAAGGGTGGAGAGGAGAGGAGAGGAGCTGGCGGGGAAAGAGAAGAGAAGGACTAGGGGTGGCATGTGAGCAGTGGGCCAGGGTTTGAAGGGGCTGCCCCAAGGAAGAGGGGGTCCGTTTATTTGCCAAAGCAACAAAAGGCAGGACGAGAAAGAATGGATGGAAACGCATCAAGGAGAGAAGCAACCTGGAATTAAGGAGAAACTTCCTGAGAGTGAGAACAATTTAACCAGTGGAACGACCTGCCTCCATAAGTTGTGGGTGCTCCATTTATTTATTTATTTTATTTTATTAGTCCAATTTATATGCCACCCTTCCCCGTAGACTCAGGGCAGTTTACAATGCATTATAGTAATAGCCTGCATACTTTAGATAGATAGATAGATAGATAGATAGATAGATAGATAGATAGATAGGTAGGTAGGTAGGTAGGTAGGTAGGTAGGTAGATAGATAGAGATAGAGATAGAGATAGAGATAGAGATAGAGATATCTATCTATCTATCTATCTATCTATCTACTTATTAGGGCTTTTGCCCCCCCCCCAAGTGGAGTTGTTCTATACAAAGTTGGTTTATTGCCCCCACAATCCAGGTCCTCAATTTACCTACCTCAAAAGGATGGAAGGCTGAGTCAACCTTGAGCCTGGTGAGATTTGAACTCGCACGAATTGCAGGCAGCTGGCAGCTAAGTGCTAGCACTTAACAACACTTAGTCCGCTGAACCACAGAGGCTCTTCCATCACTGGAAGTTTTTAAGAAGAGTCTGGAGAGAGGAGCAGGCCGGGAAGTCACACTCATCTAGAGATGACCTTGCAACAGGGGTGAAATCCAGCAGGTTCTGGAGAACCGGTAGTGGAAATTTTGAGCAGTTCGGAGAACCGGCAAATACCACCTCTGGCTGGTCCCAGAGTGAGGAGGGGATGGAGATTTTGCAGTATCCTTCCCCTGCCATGCCCACCAAGCCACACCATGCCCACCAAGCCACGCCCACAGTAATAAAATTTAGATTTCACCACTGCCTTGCAAATATTTTATTCGCTGCATCTGAGCAACTGGGACTGCAATACATTGTTTACAATGGAGGAAATTGCATGGCAGGCATATATTTATATAAGTCCATGTGGTTCTGCATACCTTGATGGTTTAGCACAGGGGGTCTCCAACCTTGGCAACTTTTAAGACTTGTGGACTTCAACTCCCAGAATCCCTCAGCCAGCTTTGCTGCTGCTGGTTTAGCACAGGGGGTCTCCAACCTTGGCAACTTTTAAGACTTGTAGACTTCAACTCCCAGAATTCTGGGAGTTGAAGTCCACAAGTCTTAAAGTTGCCAAGATTGGAGATCCCTGCTTTAGCAGACAAAGAAAGAAGGAAGGAAGGGACAGCATGAATGGAAAAGTTTGAAACAACGCTGGCCCCAGTCCAATAACTCATTTGTGCCAACGGCGGCATGACTGTAGGGTGCCTACTGGGTATTATTGCTGTCTGGGACTGAACTATAAATTAAATTTAGCAGCACTGGAGAGAAATTGTATTTCCTGTGGAAGACCTCGTCTGAGTCACTGGCTGGTTGACTTCTGAGCTAGGAAAGGGATCCTGAGGACAACACACAGGGTTATGGAACTCAGCTGATAAAATAATCAACATTTTATCTTGGATTCCAGAGTGTAAATGTGAGGTCCGATGGGCTTTGATTTAACATGGAGAGTTTTTTGTATTTCCAACAATACTATGTGCCTTACGGAGCATCCTCGACTTACAACCACTCCAGAGATCGATCACCAATGCATTTTTTTTTTTAATTTGATTTATATGCCGCCCTTCTCCGGAGACTCAGGGTGGCTTACAATGTGTTAAGCAATAGCCTTCATACTTTTGTATATTTATACAAAGTCAGCTTATTGCCCCCACAAACTGGGTCCTCAATTTACCTACCTTAGAAAGGATGGAAGGCTGAGTCAACCTTGAGCCTTGGAGAGATTCGAACCAGCAGTAATTGCAGGCAGCTGTGTTAATAACAGGGTGCGTAGACCACTGTACTATCAAGGCTCTTGATAGCACATTTTGATCCATTTTCAGCAAAAGGTTCATAAAGGGTTTCCAGACTTTTCTAAAAGTAGCCATTTCTCCTTCTCTATAGTCAAGCAAGTTAACATATGATGTGGCTTATGGTTTGATCAAAGCGGAAGCAATTTGATGATTCCAATAAACACCCCCAATTCCTCTCATTTAACCTCGTTTTCCCCCCCTCACCTCCCCAATTTCATTGTATTTGGGGGTTTTTTATTGGCTTTTAATGAACTTCTAATGAGCCTATCCATCTTAATCAGCACTGGGAGTTCCAACATTCACTTTGCCATTTTAAATACTGTTTATTCCATTTTTTTTTAACCTCCCGCTTGTCAGTAATGCATTTTTAATTGGAGGTTGGCTTTTTAATAGGTGCCGACTATTTTGGAATTCATTCTGAAGGGCAATGTGTAGATATTTAAAACAAACAAACATTTAATGGGTTGTTTAGTTTATTCCACAGTGATCACCCAGTCACCACCTCTAGTGAGACTGTATTGAAAACCTAATCGGTATTTCTAAACAAGCACCTGTGCTTGTTAATTAATATAGGCAGAGTTTATGCAAATTTGCCTCCTCTTTTGAGTTGCATTTATTTACTTTCTTTCACAATTCACGCGTAGCTAAATCCCAGTCAAACCGACTAGGTCTGGCACAGGAGGTGTATTTCTCCCGCTCCTAAAGCTGATTTTAGCCTGTTCTTGAGACAAGGCGAGAGGCTTTTTATAATTTCTTTTTTTTTTCCTTTTCTTTTTAATATAAATTTTATTCAAAGGATACAAAGGAAGTATAAAAACGAAGCAAAGATAATACAAAAGAAAGAAACAAAGGAAGAAAAAAAAAAGACAAAGATGCAGAATGAAACAATTAGGAAAGGATCTCAATTTCTTTGCCATGAATACAAGTACAGATAGTTCTCGACTTACAACATTTAGCGACTGTTGAAAGTTACAACAGCACTGAAAAAAGTGACTTAATGACCATTTTTCACACTTATGACCATTGCAGCATCCCCACGATCATGTGACTTACGTTCGGATGCTATGCAACTGATTCCTATTTATGACGGTGGCAATGTCCTGGAGTCACTTGATCCCTTTTGTGACCTTCTGAGAAGCCAAGTCAACGGGGAAGCCAGATTCACTTACCAACCATGTTACTAATTTAAGAACTGCAGTGATTCGCTTAACAAGTGTGGTGAGAAAAGTCATAAAACGGGGCAAAGCTCGCTTAACGAAGTTCTCACTTAGCAACATACATTTTGGACTCAACTGTGATCATAAGTCAAGGCCTCCCTGTATAATTACAGAGTCACCTCTTGCTCTATGACCACTTTTTTCTATTATCTATTCTTCTTTTTTCTAAACAACTGTACTACTATTAGTCTTCTCATCATTCCCACCACCCATCTTCTCCCACTTATGACTGTATGACTAACTTTGTTGCTTGTATCCTTACGATTTATATGGACTGTTTCCTAGTATGATTTGATTGCTTATTTGTACCCTATGACTATCATTAAGTGTTGAAACTTATGATTCTTGATGAATGTATCTTTTCTTTTATGTACCCTGAGAGCGTATGCACCAAGACAAATTCCTTGCGCGTCCAATCACACTTGGCCTATAAAGAATTCTATTCTATTCTATTCTATTCTATTCTATTCTATTCTACTCTACTCTACTCTACTCTACTCTACTCTACTCTACTCTACTCTACTCTACTCTACTCTACTCTACTCTACGCCACAAGTACTTTTTCCTATTTCATGGCTTTGCTGTCGAGAGCTCTCCATGTCCCAAAGGTGCTTTTTCAAGAGGCAAATGGACTTTCTTGTTTTTTCGTTTTTTTTCTTTTGAAGATGTTTCGTTTCTCATCCAAGAAGCTTCTTCAGCTCTGACAGGATACTGGGGAATGGAAGGATTTAATATTCCTTGCAGACAGCTGGTCATTTGCATCCTCAAAAAAGAAAAAAAAAATCAAGAAAGTCCAGTTGCCTCCTGAAAAAGCATGACCTGGATGAGTGAGAATCTCTTACAGACTTAGAGCTCTCAAGGGTTAACTCGCAATTGGCCGCATTCACAAGACCAGCAAACCCCAGTTGAGAAACCTCAGCATAAGCCTGAGCTCCCCACCCCCTCCACCCAGGTACCACACTAGGGCTGCCTTCCCGCACTTCCCTCCTTATCCAGGCAACCCCGGTGCACGCAAAGTCCCCACGCAGCTGCCTGCATTCTCACGACCCACCAAGCCTGGGAGTGGGGGTGGGAGGAGGAGGACCTGCCCTCCACGCAAGCCCGGTGCACGCAAGCCCGGTGCACGCAAACCCAGCAGCTGCCTGCATTCTCACGACCCACCAAACCTCCCTGGGAAAAACCGCAGGGAGGCGGTCCCTTCGCTGGAACAGCGGGCCGAGGAGAAGGACATGGAGGCCACGCCCTCCCCATGACGTTGCCGCGCAGGGGAAGGAAGCCACGCCCTCCCCATGACGTTGCCGCGCGGGGGGAGGAGGAGGAGGTCACGCCCTCCCCATGACGTTGCCGCTCGGGGAAGAAAGCCACGCCCGCTCCATGATATTGCATCGCGGGGGAAGGAGGCCACGCCCTTCCCCATGACGTCGCCGCGCGGGGAAAGGAAGCCACGCCCGCTCCATGACATTGCAGCGCGGGGAGAAGAGGAGGCCACGCCCTTCCCCGTGACGTTACCGCGCGGGGGGGGGGGGGGAAGAAGGGGGCCCCCCCCCCCATGACGTTGCCGCGCGAGAGCCGGGCGTGTGGGCGGTGCTTGCTGGCTCCTCCTCCTCCTCCTCGTCTTTCTGCGCTCTCCG